TAAACAGTGGAGCACTAATTGTTTTCCAGCAGAAACTGGTAGTCTGAGTTTTATGAATTTTAAGGTGCTAACTGTAGATTTGGTTTTTGTATTTACTTTTATTAGACTTTAAACCTTGAAGAAACTGTTGGTACAAAACTCTCTGTCTAGAGAGTTGTGCTGCTCATGTGTTTTTAACGCTAAATGTCTATCCCATATATAATTCATAGGTATAAATAAGTAGGGAGCAGCTAGTGCCACAACATCCAGTGCTTTTAGGCCTGCCCTCTTTTGGAGGCACTTATTCACAGCTCTTATTTCATGTAATCCTACATTAGTATTTCCCACTGCATACACATACTATGAACATAATTTACTTTTCCAGGAGCAGACTCTTGCTGTTTACTTTTGCAGAAGCAGGCAGATGCTATTGGCTCATTTTCATTTCATGACCAGCGTGCCAGTAAAACAAATGATTCAGATGCAACTCTCAGTATACGGCGACGGGAAACCTTCTAACCCAGAATTCATTTGCTTGTACTTTGACCTGGAGTTCTAGTTTCTAAATAACAAGACCTTTTTCTAAATGCAGAGCACACTGGTTACTGCTTTTAATCTCAGCATCTTTCTCATTTGCTGCTCACTTACTACCTAAACTGAAGGTGAGGCTGAGTGTGCATGTTTCCCTGACTCTTAGCAAGGTGCTGTAGAGAAGCAATGTCTTCATTCTTCACCCAGGCATCTTGCAGAAAAGCTTTTTGGACACTGTGTTTGTAGGAGAGCAAAATTACAGGGTAGGCAGAGGAGAAAACTTGAAATCTGAATTCAGGTAGCATCTTAGATTTATTTCATGGTGAATCTAAGGAGCCTGGTTATTAGTGTGCTGTGAGGTTCTCTAAAGCCCTGTGTGGATCACCATTTTGTAACAAGGTGGATTTGATTGTGTAAGCTGAATTCAAGTCTTTTAGATCTTGGAGAGAGGCGTGTACTGTTTGTACTTCGCATCATGGAGATCCTTACTTTTGTAGTCACTAGATGACTGAACATTTTAAGCCATTCAGTCCCCCTGAATGGAAAATCCGCCTGTCAAATGTGTAACACTGATTTTCAGTGTAACCCAATCATATAGGCAGGCATGATCTTCTGGATTTATGTGCCGTTGCTTTTAATGAGATACCTACATATGGGAGACTTTTGTAGACTTTGGACAAGAATTGTTGAGCTCATCTCTGTCTTGCAATTTTCTGCATGATTTTGGAACCAAGGGATTGAAATCACTGAATAGCACTCAGCAACATATCACAATCTATACACTAAAACATTATACTTTGATTGTTTTCTGCTTAATCACAGAGTAGCAGGGGTTGAAAAGGACCTCTGCAGATCATCTGTTCTAAGCCTCTGCTTAAAGGAGGTTGCTCAGGGCCGTGTCCAGACAAGTTTTGGATATTTTTAAGTATGGATACTCCACAAGTTCTGTGAGAAGCTTGTTGGTGTTCAACCAGCCTTACAGTAAAAAGTTTTCTTTTCCTTAATCAGAATTTCCTGTATTTCAGTTTGTGCTGATTGCTTCTTGTCCTGTCACTGGACACCATGGAGAAGAATTTGGCTATATATTCTTTATTTTCCACCTCATCAGGAATTTCACATCAATGAACCATGAATCTCTTTAAAAATAACCTTGTACATGGTTTACTTTCAGCACAGTGCAATTCAAGACTTCTTTTCCTGTTAGTACTGCCTTCTTCCTTGCTGTTTCACCATGGGGAGGTGAAACCAGGCCTGGTTTTGCTTCCCCATTCCATCCAGTCTACCACTGTCTTGTAAGTTTGTGTGGGAAGCCCTGTTTTCCTCTTTTCCAGAGGAAATGGAAGAGAACATGTGCAGCAACAAACTGAAAATTTTAGTAGTGTATGACCAGTTCACTTACTTTGCTACATATGCTTTTGCTTTCCTCTCACGGATACAGCTCTTTTTCAGTGAATATTGAAACCTCATGGACGTTGAAGGAATAATAAGGTTCTAATGAACTGAAAAAGGAAAAGTTTGTAGCAAAGAAAAATTAGCTTTTTTTTCCTCCATCAACAATGTACGTAGTTAATTGACAAAAAACTTCTTACGCAATCTAACTTCTCTGTGTTTGTATAAAATAATACCTTTTTTAGCTATTTTTGGCAGGCTCAAAATCTATTTTCCAGGCCCCTAGCTCCCTGGTAACGGGACATCAATACAACAGCCCAAGCTGATGATTATATTAAAAGAAGAATATAATGAAACAGAAGATGTGGCTTGATCTTTTCCATTGATAAATTTAGAACTTGTAAAAGCTGAAGTAATAGTTGTAGTGATAAAAAGAAATGTAATTTTATACTTGCTCACTGTTCTAAAACACAGTGTATAATTATTGTAGGAGGAAGAAAAATACACCTCTCCCCCTCACTCTGCTACTTTTTCCTCTTCAGTGTTGAAATCATCCAGTTTAATTAAATCACCAACCTATTTTTGCACAAAAGATGACATTTTATTAATGATGTATGATGTGCATTAGACAGAATTAACCCAATTTTCAAATGGATTTCAATTTGGAAAGGGCAACATGTAAAAATGTCTCGTAAATGTGTGGGATGATCTTGTTGAGCAGCTTTCTGAAGGAGATGGGATTATAAAATGATGAATAATTAGACAACAGTCTTTCCCCCCACCTCAGTTCCTCGCAGTGTTTTTGTAATCTTAGTTGATGGAAACTTAGGCTCCTGACATCATATATCTGGGATATATTAGGAGAAGAATGAAAAAAAAAAGATTGTAATGATTGCTAGCAAGATACATATAAATACATACATATTTATAAATACATATAATCTTCTCTGTAATTTTTAGCTGAATAGTAACCTTCAGTGGATTTGTCACAGTATCACCACCTTAAAGTGTTCTTTTTTTGAAAAAAAAAAGGCAACAAAAAGAAGCAAACCAGTCTTCCAAACATAGTTTTGAATCATCACTTTTGGTAGCACTTTTTCCAATCACTTCTTTGAGGTATCAGATTTCAGGTCCCTCTTTGAATGCAGGTCATTGCTTCTCGATTTGTGATTGTATCAGAGTAGTTCCAATTAAGCTAGAGCTCAATTCCCTCTGCTTGGTGTTGCTCTCAAGCTAGAGCTACGATCTTGCCAGCACTGTCATGAATTGACCCAGCACAAAATGTTGTTCCTACTCTATAAAAGACTTTGAGATTTGAGCCGTGCTGGTTTATCTTCAGTGTCAGGACTCTTAGCTAAAAATAGAAGATAAACCAAACTACTCTATAAGAATACATCATGTAGAACTTGAGATTGCTCTTAGGGCTTTATAATGTAGCATAATATCATTACCTTTTCTATATTTTGTTTAGTTTTGCCTTTTTTCTTACTCAGGTTTCTTTCCTAACACTGAATCCAATGTACAGTAGTTCAGGTGATAATATTTCCAAGTAATTGGGAAGAGCTGAAGGAGACTATTTGTTGATCTTAGGATGTCAGGCACTATGGTTGTGGTGTGGTTCACATTTCAAGCCTGTTTTACCATAAGGAAATAGGCACATAGGGCCTGAGCTCAAGAGCGGGGTTAGAGTCCATCCATACTCACTTCACTTACAAACATATCAAACCCAGCAGGCTGGGATATTCACAGGAGATAAATGGTCCTACAGTAAGCTGTTGTGCAGATTTGAATTGGAAGAATTGTAAATTGTTAATGAGCTTTTTTCTCATCTGCAAGGGGAGGAGATCATCTGCCTCATCATCAGACTTACATTCCTGAAGTTTATCTGTGTGTATTAGAGGTCCACACTGTATTGCCAACTTCTCTTATTCTGAATTGCCTTTATAATTCACAGGAAAACTGTATAGGTGTGGGTTTGTGGGTTTATTTTTAGTTTCATGGTGATAGGAAAAGAAAACTTCACTTTCATTTCCATATCTCCAAAATTTAACTTTTGTCGAAACAGTTCTCAAAAATCATTAGCATCTGAGAACAGAACGTTGTGGAAGAGATAGTGAAAAGATTTGAAACAGACCACAAAATTATCTTGTTTATGAACTGGAAAGACAAATCTGCCCTCTAGAAGTGTGAGATTAATTTTTTGCAGCTCTTACGTACAGGGTAATGTGGTGAAGGCACTAATCCTAGTATTTGGAGAAAAATTTTTGGGGGTCAGGCTGTGAAGTTCCAAACAAATTAGCAAATTATAGCATTCCCATATTCTTCTTTATTGATGCAATAATAATCATATAGTGATTTTTGCTAAGCTTTACGTTCAAATGTTTTTTTGCTTCTGTTGAGAGCAAAAGCTTGAGCTATAAGGTTGTTGGTGGTGTTCATAATGACGTAAGGGCCAGAGGTCCCCACCATTCCAGCTGCCTGTGTTCATGTAACTGTGATTCCTGACCCAAAAGAACAGACACTGTATAACAACAAGATTTGCCAGCGCAAATATCCTGCCCTTATGCTTGGAACATCAATCTTGACTACTTGCCTAGGAATGGAGGGAGGTAATCTTCTGCAGTAAGCTTGGAAATAGTGAAATATATTTCGGAATTTAAGATTGATATGAAAGGAGCCTTCTATGGCATTTACACCAAAAGTTTCTGTAAGAAGTACATACATTTTGGATGGAATACTGATAAATAAAAGCAGATTGAGGGAGCGCTGAACAAATTTAATTTAGCCCTCTTAAGGTGTTATCAGGAGAAATTTGGAATTACCATCCTGTCTATCTATCCTTTGGCCTGGGGAAACGCAGCTCTGTAACCAGGAACAGAGGTGGAAGTCAAGATCACAGTTTTGAACTTGATTTATTTATAAACGTATGAGACGATTATTTCTTTTTTCTATAGTTATTATTTTGATTTTATTTTTTTCCCCTCTTGCTCTGGATCTCATTCACAGTTATTGTCTAGCAGAACTTCACGTTGGCCTCTGGAAGGGAGGGAAGGGCTGTACTGTGTGTGCACCGTTCTCAATAGACCTTTTCTCTCTTTCAGAACAAGGAATGAAGAAAATGAGCAACATCTATGAATCAGCAGCCAATACCCTGGGAATTTTTAACAGCCCATGCCTGACTAAAGTGGAACTGCGAGTTGCATGCAAAGGCATATCAGACAGGGATGCCCTCTCAAAACCAGATCCTTGTGTCATCCTTAAAATGCAGTCGCACGGCCAGTGGTTTGAGGTGAGTGTTTAATAGAATAAAAATTATTCTTCTGACACTTTATGATGGCATAGACAAACTGAGGCAAATTTCAAACAGCAAGAACAATGAAGAGAAAAAGTAGTTTGAAGCCTGTGGCATAATCTTGTAAGAGTGAAGGGAGATTTTCCATTAACCCTGACACACTTTGAATCAAAAACTTTGAACTTCTCTTTGGAGTCTAGATTAAAAATCAAGATGATTAAAGAGTGAAGCATCATAAAACTTTCCCCTTTAGGCCTCATGTTTCCTAAAAGCTATATAATAACAGGGATAATGACTATCAGGCATTACAACAGCAAGAAGAAAAATGCCATGGAAGAGAGGAATATTCATTACTAGTTGGCAAGGAATCTGGTGAAAGAGCAGCTTGATTTGCAAATTTTGAGCATTACAATTGGATTCATAGTTGAAGTTAGTAAAACTAATGTGTTTGCTGGATCAATTTGCCTTGTATTGCAGTTTGCATGTTTGATTAAAATCCTGCTTCATGTTACTTTACCTAATCTTGGAAATCATTTCATTGACAGCTGGAAATAGGATGTCTTAGGGAAGTTCAAATTGTAAATAAAGAACATTAGAATGAAATGTAATATTTTTAATGACATCATGTTGGTTATTTTATTTCAAACTTATACTTGAGTGTTTGTGGTTTAACAAACTAAAAGGTGACTTTAAAAAGAAAATAGAAGTACATAAGAGAAAATTAGGAATGTATTAAATCCAGTTAATTTTGCGTGTGTATTCATCTGTCTCCTTTCAAGAGTTTCAGCATTCAGCATAAGATTGCGTTATATATGAAAAGATAAAAATAATAACTGAGCATAGGCAGAAAGCAAAATCCTAAATTCAAGGGTCTTTTAATTTAGCATTTTCAGCCAAATTTGTCAGACTTTGGGGATTTTGTTCCATTTATTCCAATTGTCTGGTTTTGACCTAGGGACCTCTGAAATTTTTCCAGACCAGTTGACACCAGCATAGCAAAATTAAGGTTTTTTTGATGGTATTCTTCTTCTTTTCATAGTTTTCTCTTGTGGAACCATTAAAAATGTCCCTGGTAGAAAACCAGATTAGAAGTAGATATAAAACTCTCACAATTGTCTTAGTGCTACAAAATCAGTGTGTCCATTTAATTAAAATTTAAGGTGATACAATAGCCTGAAGAAAGTAATTTTAGCTAGCTATGTAGAAAGAAGCATATAGCTGCACTTTGAGTAATCACATAAATACTAGAACCAAGCAGTGTATTAAAGGTCAAAATAAGTGAAATGTCCTGTTTGGAAAGGGTAGAATGAAAACTTTTCCAGTATTTCAGTTCTCTGAATAACTGATTGCATTTCACATACAGTTTGTCTCTGGCCAGTTGTAAGTGGAGTAAGTAGATTAAATTATATATTCTGATGTTGTAACAGAGATTCCCTTTATTTGATGTGGTTTTAATTTGGAAAGTTATTCTCTGAATTGAGTAATTCTTGCAGAACAGATCTGCCCACTGATATGATTCTCATCTTATGTCAGTTTCTCTTACTGTCTAATGGGAGTCCAGGGCATTCATTTTAGTATGAATAAAAAGTTTTTATTAGTTCATGTTCCTATCAGTGCTGTGGAGTGAATACAGCTCTGACATAATGAGTCTTTTCTGGCCAGCACATTCTCAACAGAATTTTTAATTAAGTTGCAATTGCTGAACTAAATTGAGCAGAGTCACTCAGGTATAGATGAAGATATAATTTGGTTGGAAGAATCTTCTGCTGATGGGAATCAATGATCCAGCAAGACCTGAGAAGGCAGAAAAATTAGTAATTAAAAAAGAATAAATCTAGTTACCAGTGAAGTGAGTATATTCAATATAGAAATCACTAAATGGCAACCCAAACAGGAAGAGAACTGAGGAGTTTTGTATATATGGATTTAATGCCTTCATGAAATTGTCTTGAATTTCTAGGCACCTTAAACCCCTTGTAGGTTGGACATCTCCAAACAGACTGTAGCAAGATACAGTATTACTGAAACATGCATATTGATCACATGCTCTAGTTGTTAGGAGGTTTTATCAACATGGAGTAGCTGGGTTGAAGGTGTCTGAAATACAGGTTACGGTCTTGCATATAAATACTTTTTAAATCTCTGAAAAGTACTGAGGGCAGGCTGCGCAGCTGCTATTAGGCCAGATGCATCTGAAGCTTGTGGGGTTGGGCTGATGGAATTGCATTGTGCATGCAATTAGAGACACTAGGATGTGAGGGATTTACTCTACAGACACAGATAATCCTCGAAAGTGAGGAATTTTTGCACATTTATCTCTTGGAAGATTTTGATAAAACATGTCATTCCGTTGCTGAGGAGATTTCTTTTTCAGTTCTGCAGTACTGTGTATGCATATGTGTATGTTTGTATAAATTGTGCCACCTGCACATGTAAATATAGAATGAAAATGTGTTGATGCTCTTGTAGAGTGGGTAGATGCAGTTTCCAGAGATTGGAAATGTCATATAATTATTTGTTTTTTAATTGTGGTTTTTCTGTTTTGTTTAGTTTTGGGCTTTTTTTTTTGATTTGTTTTATTTTTTCTTCTTTCAGACACAGAATCGGTGAGGTTAGAAGGGACCTCAAGAGGTCACATAGTCCATCCCCTGCTGCTTAAGTGGGGACACCTACATCCAGTTGCCCAGGACAGTGTCAGACAGTTTTTGAATATATCTGAGGAGGGTGACTCTGCATAATCCCTGGGCACCCTGTGCCAGTGCTTGGTTGTTGTCACAAGTTCTTAATGTTCCTATGTTTCAATTAGAGACCATTGCCTCTGGTTCTGTCACTAGCCACCAGTGAAAAGAAGCCTGGCTCTGTCATCTTTAGACCCTCCCTTCAGGTATTACGTACATTGGTAAGATGCCCCTGAGTGCTCCAGGTGTGTCATCTACAAACTTGCTGAAGGCACAGTCTACCCCATCATCCAGCTCACTAATGAAGGTGTTAAACAGGACTGGATCCTGTATTGACCCCTGTGGTCCACCTCTTGTCCAACTGGACTTTACATCTCTATAACCAGCCTCTGGGCCCAACTATTCAGCAGGTTTTCAGTCCACCTCACTGTCTACTCATCCCTCCCCTACATCAGCAGTTCCTCCAGGATCTTATGGGAGGCAGTGTCAAAGGCCTTACTGGAGTCCAGGTAGACAATATCCACTGCCCTTCCCTCATTTACCAGGCCAGTCTCTTCATCATAGAAGTCCATTCTGACTACTTATGATGATTTTCTTATCCTTAATGTGCCTGGAAATGGTTTCCAGGATTAATTGCTGTATCAACTTCCTAGGAATCAAGGTGAGATTGACATGCCTGTAGTTCCCTGGATGAGCTGATGATTGACTCATTATTCCTCAGATGTGAAACCAGTAGGAACACGAGCAGGACATGGACAAGTACTCAAAGAATCCTGGGGGTTGTCCCCAGTTCTGGGACAGATATGCTTTCTGTTTTTCTCTTCCTGTCTGGGTAAATGTTTCCCCACAAACAAACCTGCACATGCACAAACATGCACACATACCTTCCCGTCACATTTCTCTGTATATGAATGTTGATGCCATCTGAAAAGCACTATCTCCACCAATCTAGAATGTAAATAATATATTGTGTCTCTCAGGAAAATCAGCAGTTTACTCTTTCTCTCGCATGAAGTTTGTATTTTTAGCCTGATGTGAGAGGGTGTGATACAGAACAATTTAAGATTATGCTATCTGTATTACTACCCAGGGCTGAATTTTAGCTCTTCTGACCTTAATTTTAGGCAGGTACACACTTGCAGAGAGGCCAAATGTTGTACTTAAACTGTTTAAGATAATAATTCAATGGCTGTTTTTCCATATTGATTTGAATGTGTTCAAGGAGTTTAATTACTGTAATAAGCTTCAAATGGTGAATGACTGAGGTACATGATGATAAATTCCTTTGCTCCAATGATTATTTTACCCACCTGCAGCGTGGATGTCCATGTGTAATAAATATTAATTGTGTACAGCATTGGAGTCTTCAGCCAAGATGTGCTAGCACTGACATTCTCATTAACTCCTTATTCCTAAGAAAGTAGCTTGGACCTGTGCACAGGTTGTTATCTGCATATGGCAAGTACCTGTAATACATGTTATTTTGAAAGCTGAGTAAGTTGCTGAGCTGTGTCTGATCATACAAGATTTACAAGAAATTGGGAGGTGTCATAGCCTCACGTAGCAAGCAGATGGAACATGATGTCTGTAGCTATGAAAAGCGAAGTAGCCAGGTTTGGAAATCTGGGAGGGCTTCCTGTAGTTGTACTCTTATGGCTTTTAGCAGGAAAATTTGAGGACATAGAGTATCTGCTGCCTTGTGGATTTGAACAAGCAGCTGGAATTCTTGCTTTTTATTTATTTTTCCTAAGTTTTTATTAAACTTGAAGCAAATGCAGAGCAAATAAAGCCGCGCCCAAAGACAACATGCACTTGCTAAAATTCATATTGATGAAATTGGGTGGAATTGTTTGGATGGATAAGTTTGTTCACTGAAATAGGTTTTTTGTTAAAATGTTGTCTGAAGTCACAAATTTCGTTGAACTCAATGAACTTTGATAAAAATGTGTAGGGCAAAATATTTTTAAATATATTTAAATATTTTTAAAATAAAAGTTATTCACTTATTGTTTAGCATGACATTTCAAGGATTAGCTTGGCAAGATTAAACTAACAAAACTGAATTTTCCAGCTTGGTTTTTCTTTTTTTTTTCTTTGAGTATTAACCTGCATCCACACAGACCCTCACGCAAACAGATGGTAGAGACCAGAGAGCTTGGAAATGCATTGAACAAGTAAAGTATAGAATAGCAGCAGAGCCTAATAAACAGGCTACATAGGAATCAAGGTATAGGAAGGACATAGTGTTGCTCTTCATCTGTCTTTGCTTTTCCACTTAATCCTGCTCTCTCTTTTGTTTCATTTCTGAATTCCATCATC